ATTGAAATAAAATAAACCTATAAGGGAGAGAAAAAAGAAAATACGTAAATATGCTTGATATTTATATATAACTATAGAATTATTTACCTTCGATAATCCAAAAGAATTTAACAAACACTTATAATAACTTGTTTTTACGCCACTCTCTGGAAAACAATTCACTAACAAAAGTAATAAACGACTGAACCACGTTTGTGTACAGAAGCCAAGTGGTGATGTTAGGGGAATCACGGACCGTTATACACTAGCGAAGTCATTGTAAGAAGGGAATACCCCGAATTTAAATTTAGCAATTTGGAACTTATTGAGAAAACAGAAAATTTAAAATTTACATCTATATTTTTTTTAATTCTACCAAAAGAGTAATGAAAACACGTATTTGTTTTTTTATAAGATGTTACATGAGTGAACGCGTGAGGCCTATTAGGACATTTTTATTTTTTTTCCAAAAAAATTGTCACATACTTTATTAGAAATTTTTATAATAATTCGGGTTTTACTATTTGTGAAAGGTACACGGAAGCCCACGGTGCCAAAATTTTTCTTACAAAAATTACAGCAACATATAAGTATTGGGTGAACTCACAGGCCTCACCCGTCTACTGGAGGGTTAAAGAAAATCTCGTCCAGCAAAAAATTAAAAATAATAGTTTTTCCTAGAAAAAAAATTTTTTTTTAGATAACAGATAAGTACAAATTACGCTCTAGTAGTTCATGGTATCTCTGTTACCGTCGTTATTGTCGACATTATCGTTCCTAAGGTCATTTGATGGAGTTAGCAGGCTGTCCAATGCTGTTGTTTGTGGTTCAGAGTATGACATGTAAGATCGTGTGGTTGTAGGATGCTGCGTTTGAGGCCGCGAATATGGCAACTGATATGGTTCTTGCTGAAATTGTGGTTGTGGTGGTAGGGGCATAGTGCCTTGACTTTGATGATGAAAGGATGCAAATGGAAAACGATGAGTATCAAAAGCCGTTCCCTGACCAGGCATCGAGCTGAAATTCATATTTGTTCTCTCCGCGTCACTCACTATTGAAAATATTTTGGATTTGACCTCTATTTGCAATTGCGGAGAAAATGTTTTTACAGTCTCCGCCATACATTCAAAAAATTTGTTAATAGGGTCAGAAATATGCTGTATTTCCGGAGTAGGCCGTCTTCTTTTATCATTTATATAATTTTGCAATACTTCTGCCGATGATAAGGTAGCATTTTTCTTCTGATGAATGTTGTCCTTTTCTTTGGCTAACATTTGCGTTTTATTAAGAGTAGCATTGCACGTGTAGACGTAGAAGAGCAGCTTGCAATACTGAGAGGACTGACTACTTCGATATTTATGTCCTGCTCCTGCGCTTCTGTTTCTGACGAGTCAGATATATCAACATTGCTGATTTGTTTTCTATCTGCCAAAAACGGTTGCAGAAATGACATCTGCTTATCATATCGCCAACTTTTCTTTTTTTCTGCTGATTGACCACTTCTGGTTTTCTGAGATTTCATGGATTTTCGGAAACTGTCCCTCAACGTTCCCCATCTTTTTTTGCATTCGGAAACTAAAAATGAAACAAAAAAAGTATAGCTGATAATTTTCACTACCTAACCAGGTTTTGTTTTAGATTTTTTGCTACGAGGGATACATTTCGAACAATTGCATTTAGCTACCGACTTGGAGAAACAACAGTTCGTAACTTAGTTTATGGAACTTGTGAGGCTATATGGAAAAAATTGGGACCGTTGGTAATACCTTCTCCTTCAAAAGAAAGTTGGATACAAAATGAACATGATTTCCAAAGATTATGGAATTTTCCCAACTGTATTGCTGCCATCGACGGAAAGCACGTAGTTACCGATAAACCCCCTTATAGTGGCTCATTATATTTTAACTACAAAAAGATATTTAGTATTGTTTTACTTGCATTTGTAGATGCACATTGTAAATTCACTGCCATTGATGTAGGCGCCTATGGAAGAAATAGCGATGGTGGAATATTTGCAAATTCTGCAATTGGAAAGAAAATGTTCAAAAATAATCTGGATTTACCTCAAGATAAAGCTTTACCTGGCACTAATGTAATTATGCCTCATGTCTTTGTAGGAGATGAGGCTTTTCCTCTACACAAACATTTAATGCGACCTTATCCAGGTGGCGAAATACTGAATAACGAAGAAATTAAAATCTTTAATTACAGGCTCAGTAGAGCTAGACGTGTTTCAGAAAATGCTTTCGGAATTTTGACAAAGAGATTTCGTATTTATCAAAGACGCTTGCAAATTATCCCTGAGCACCTCGATAAAGTTGTACTTGCTACATGTTGTTTGCATAACTTTCTTCGAAATGATACATGCCATTGGACCGAAAACGACGAAGATAATCAACCCTCACACGGATTAACAGATATGTCAGGAATAGGTGGAACTTCAACTGCACTTGCAATGGAGATTAGAAATACATTTAAAAATTACTTCTCTGGGACTGGTTCCATATCATGGCAAATGGCAACAGTTAGGAAAGGCAAAAGAAATACGGCAGTCAATATTGAGACTGACACTTAGTAATTATTGTGCAATAACAATATGTGGCACAATTCATTTCATTAAAAATAAAATAAAATATATAAGCACGTAACGGTTGTAAAAATTGGTTTTATCGAGATAAAAAATTCTTTAAATATTTTTTAAAATTACAAACCGTCGCTTGTTTACTGTATACTATCCATTCAATAAATAAAAAATATATAATTATAAATATTAAAAATATATAATGTCAATATTTACCAGGTCTATTTATTTCTCCTCCAATTTCCTCCCATATGTTATCCTTCACCTGTTGCTTATGGTAGTCCTTGTTACTCAAATCATAAATTTCCTTATATTTTTGAACCAAGCAAATTAATTTTTCGTCATCCATTTTAAAAAGTAGTGTCTTCTCTTGCGTGCACTACAGAACTTAAGAGCTGTAACTTAAAAATACAAAAATGAACAAGTTTGGACATGTCGCTCCTAGTTGACGTTATTTAATGCAGGCCGATGCCGGCCGACGCCGGCCGACTCTGCGCTCACTTGCCCAGCGCAGCACGGTACAGTCCGTTTTTCACCGGGAAGGATCGGAGACCGGCAATCCATTCCGTCGACGGCCGGTCTGAGCCGTGCTGTGTCGGACTAGTGAGCGGTTGTTCATTCAATTGCATTGTTCCGATTCTATCCGGATTTTGACGGCACGTGCTGTGACGGGCAAGTGAGCGACAAGCTTTAGGGTTCAGTTTATTCCTTGAACTCATGTGTTCTTTTCCCTCCGCCAGTAATCGTTTTCGAAGATTTCTGCTCCAGTTATACTCATTTCTTGTTTTTCGTTTTTTTACAACAGGATCCTCATTTCTATCGCTGTTTTCACTCTCACTTGCAGAGGACTCGTAATTAACGCTAGATCCTCCACTAAATGGTTCACTTTCACATTGTAAATCACTTAAATAGCTCATTGTTTATCAAAACTCTTCATACGTGTTCCCAAATATTTGTAGGTTAGGTGTAACTGCCTCTTTGATTAATACACGTCACCGGGGCGTTTGGTGCAACATCGATGTATCTGCTGCCCGTATACCCTTGTTGCGCCAAATAAAAGTAGGGGGTATCTGTAAACTACTTCCTCCACTTAAAAATAAGCCCAAGTGAAACATCTATGTTGCGCCAACCGATAGAGAGCTTCCACTTCCACAAGATAAGGTACGTAACTCATTTTGCCCACAAAAGTCAGATACCTCCTTGTTGCAGCAAACTCCTCAATTCTTCTATTAATGTTTCTGCGTTTATTATTGTTGTACGTTTAATTTGGCAAATGTTTTTGCAGTAAGTATTTGGTCGATTAGAAGATTGACAGTATTCATTCCTGTTGCTATTGTTACTATCATGGCATAAAAATCAGCCTTTTTGTTCGCTTGTAACGTGAATACGGTAATATTTTCTATAGCTTTTCCCAACTGTAATATTCGTGACTTCAGAATAACCTGGTTCTTTTGAATATATTCTATGTTCTGTCTAAATTCATCCATTGCCTTAATTCCAAGTGATATTTGACTTTGGCTGGCCTTAATGATTTTATCTTGATTTTTCGACAATTCTTCGACCGTTCGATCATATCTTTCAGCGTCTTCATTATCTAGGTGTCCAGATATGGCCTTGATTATACTACCAACAAAGTTCAAAGTTCCTCTTGTTTGTCGAACTCTGGGCAATAAACGTTTTATCCCAATATTCATTAAATTTCTATTGGCTTCCATTGTGAAGTTCTTGACGATTATGATAGGCTTCTTTGCTACCATTAATTGCGTTTGATATTTCACTGCATCTGTCGTTCATGTTCTGTACTTCTACAAGAATTGGTTCGATGTCATATTGTACGGCAATTGTCCACGTTGATAATTTGTTTTCTACCTTCCCTAGATATAAAGGGAATAGTGGTCCTTCTATTTCGGTAATTTTTACTTCGGCATGGATGATTCAGAGGATGGAACATCTGGAAGAATACCGTGTTTGAGTGAATACCTCTTTTGGTGTTCACTAGGACAGTGTCTTTATCGTTTATTTTGATAATTGTAAATGGTCCTAGGAAGGGTTTCATTAACTTACTACTCTTTGTTAGGTTGGTCACGTACACCTTTTCACCGATTTTCCACTCAGTTTGCTTAACCTGAGGCTTTTGCTTTTCTTGTGTCCATTCTTTTCGGTGAATGTCCTTTCGTTGTAATTGTGAGTAGAGAATTTTCATTCTTTCCTTGTGGCGATTGATCAAATCCTGATATGTACGTTCGTCATAGAAAAATTCATCAGTCAGTTTAATCGCTGATGAGGTACTATTATTATTCGCATTTTTCGCTCTTTTGGTACTGTTTCATCTTCTAAACACCTTAAGTGTTCCAGTAAAGTGGAGTGGAATCTCTTAACAGTTGCCTGGGACTCCGGCTTTTTCGCTGTGCCGAAATGTAATCTAATTTTGTGTAATCTAATTTTGTGTAATTTTGCCATTTCTTAAATGAGTTCGTTATTAAACTGTATACTTATATACCTGTGTCACTACAGATCTCCTCAGGAACACCGTAATATGAGAAGTATGTGATTAGAGCATCCAAGATGTCTGATGGCTTTTTACTATTTATTTCCATAGCGTGGCGTAGCCTTGAAAATGCATCAACTAGGGTAAGGTACTTCCCTTTTAGGACGACGACACCCTCGTACAATGTCCGATACTTCGGACGATGTCAAAACGGAATTCTGGTGGCCGACTGAGAAAGCGTCTATGAATATTTTTCTGAAAGGTGCATCCGGTGTTTCCGTTATAGATAGGGGCGGTGATTCTGGTATTCTATTATCTTTATTGCTGCTACATATCCTTGACGTATCGTGAGATGGCACTTTTCATCTTTTTCCGCCAATAATCTTTCTGCAAGTGTTTTAGCGTTTGCTCCACTCCTCGATGATAACGGGGTAACTACCGTTGTGATAATCGGCGATTAGTTGCAACTGTTTATCCACTTCTTTTATAACTCTAGCTCTTCTTAAACAGCGAACTATTCGTGGCCCCTTGTCATTCATTAACTGGGAATATCTTACGCAGAGTTCTTGGTAAAGTTCCTCTTCTGCTACGTAAATGTATGATGTACTATCAGCAGTCATGTATTCTACAAATAATTGATTTATTGCCTGCTGACGGGCATTTCTGTCTTCCGAATCATACATATCAAAATCTATAACATTTTCATTTCGATGTCGCAAAGTAAAATATACGTGAACTAATTTTGTATATGTTTCAAATTTTAATCGCTTTCGAAGTAGATGTAAGTTACCCCAATCTGAAAATAATGGCTTTATTTGAGCTGAGCACGCTGGAATATTTAGTAGTCTTAGTAGTAAAGTTGCAAGATTAGGATGCTCTATTTTTGCCAGTCGCCAAAACACTAAGGGATCCGTAATATTTTTGTCAAGCAACTGCTTGAATATTCCATTTTTTCGCTATATGCATCCCAACTGAATATTCCATTGGCATCAAGGTGATTAAATAAAAACCCACTGATTTTTTGTTTGTGATCTTGTAAGAGAGTATTGTTATCGTAAAAGGGATGAAAGTGATAAGCTACTGAACTATATACATTCAGTGCCATATATTGCCGCTTTTTCAAAAAGGGGTATTACACGTTTGGTAACTTTGGAGACAACCGTAAATTAGCTGCATGCGCTATTGAGGTCTCAGATTTTTTGACACACGTTAATAAGATTACAGATTGGATCTTGAATTTTTTCTACTTGGGATTCAACATGTTGAACAAAATTGTCATCAAAAATAGTTTCTTTAACGACGGTTTTAATTTTGTTTTTCGTAACAGCAAGTACCTGTTTCATAAAATCCAAGTTGTTAAGGAACGATTTAAATGTATCACGATTTGTGCACCAGCGTGTTTGTGCAGGTAATTTAATTCGATGTCCTCCTCGATCAACAATCATCTGCTCAAGGTCCGATTGTTTAAATTCTTTCATTACTTCAACAACTTTCTTACAGTAATCTTTGTTCACCACATCTTTAGCAAGGAGATTTCCTGTATGGCTACTACATTTAGTAGGCCAGATAGCATGCTTTAACAAATTTCCCATTTTCACCATTTGACTAGCATTATCTGTAACCACTGCATAAATATCTACATTATACTTCTCTTTGGCAATTTGTTTTGATTCAGATATAATTTCAACCACTTTTTCTCCAGTTTGAGATTCTGTTGTAAAATCCCTTGCATTAAGAAACGTCTTCCTACCATCGGTAGTTTGTAACATTGTTACTACAGTCTTTGTGTTGTTTGCAGAATTTTTCCATCCATCATAGATGATTACAGATTCGGTACCTAAATTTATTTGAGCTACATGCATACAATCGTTGTAACATTTATTAAGTAGTGTACTACTTAGCCTACTTCTGGTAGGAATAATTTTTGCATAAGCCGGTCTTAAAGATTCTACAAATGATTTAAATACTTTAGATTCTACGATTCTAAATGGTAAATTGCATCCAAATATAAACTTAGCTAAACAGTCATCAACTTTTGATGCCTCTTCCTTGGTAATAGACTCCGTAAAATCACTCATAAGTTTTCTTTTCTTTGAATTATTTGTTAAGCGTGGTATTTTTTGATTTTGAATTGTTTTTGGAGTATTTATGTTAGGTTGATAATAACTAGAACTACTGCTTGGTGTTGATATCTCTGTATCAGATGCTGTAGATATGTATTCCAACCGTTCTAGTTCCCCATCATTTAAAACTTCATATTCTCCAATTAAATCGCCAAAATCATCATCAGACGCCTAAAAATAATTATTTTTGTAATTTATAAACTAATACAGGTGATTCAAAAGAAACCCCCCCAAAAACGAAAACCCCATGTAGAAAAACGCATTTTAAAGAGACATGAAAGCAGACTTTTTTTCAGATTTAGCTTTGTTGTCGGGATATTCGGTTCTAAACATTAACGTACAAAATAACATACGAAATAATGTTCCAACAAGCGAAAAAAAGT